TATGTCTTATAACATCGAGTCCATCCTCAGTCCACAAATAGTGCTTGGTACATAGGAAGCACTTTATAAATATCTGATAAATCAATCAATCAGTCAATCATGCTCTGCTATTCTCTAAATCCAAGAACAACAAAATCCCTTTACATCACTTACGTTAGGAAATGTTTCCCCAGACTGGGTTAGATGGAAATTTATGCAACTCTCTCTTTAACCACCTACTTTCTTTGGTTAAAGTTTATATACAGAGAGAACTAATGAGTACTGAGTATACAACCTGGAGTTATAGAAGATTTGCATCCTTAGTAAGGGTGATAATTATCCCTAATGAGACAAAAAATTGGTTTTGGAAAGTAGAATAATCTTAGACGTTACACTGGTTCTTGGCCTTCCAAAGGGCCACAGTACATGAACAGATATACAGTATGTCTATGGTCTTAAAATTTTATGGAAGAGAGGTGATTGATTAGAAAAATCATGTTTCAAAAGGCTCTTTGCAGAAGGAAGGGTGATGATAAAACAGGTAATATTCAGCAATAATAACCATAGTAATACTAATATTGAGAACCACTGCTTCATAACATGGAGAATCAATGCCCAATACCCAACTCTCCCACAGCTAATTTACATTTTACAAAAACCCAGTGTTGGACATACTGATGGGATATTCCCAAAGGGTTCATGGGGAACTAAACAGGTTCACAGAGAAGTAGCACAAGTGAGTTGCCTCTCTAAAATTCCAATGTGAGATTATTTAATAAAACCAAGAGCTGGTTCTTTAAAAAAATAAACAAAATTGGAGGTGACTTGGAGGATGGGCTAAATGGTGATGGGGATTAAGGACGGCACTTGTAATGAGCACTGGGTGTTGTATGTAAGTGATGAATTACTAAATTCTACTCCTGAAACCAATATTACACTATATGTTAGCTAACTAGAATTTAAGTAAAAATTTGAAGAAAAAAAATAATTAAAAAATAAAAGGAATGCTGCATAATATTCCATTGTATTTATATACCACATCTTCTTTATCCATTCATCTGTTGATGGACATCTAGGCTCTTTCAATAGTTTGGCTATTGTGGAGATTGCTGCTATAAATATTGGGGTGCATGTGTTGAGTGCCTCCATATCCTGGCTTATTTCCAGAAACCAAGGATGCAGTAAAGCTCTGTCTTCATGGAGTTTATATCATAGTGTGGGATACAATACAATAACAAATAAACAATTATATCACATAATACAGGTTATATTATTATATATTCCGAGATTTATATCAGAAAAATTAGATAGGACAAGGAAAAAAATAAATGGTCAAGGGAATTGCTAGGATGGTCCAGAAAGATTTTTTTGAGGAGAGGACAATTGAACAAGAAACCAAATAAAATGTGGGAGCAAGTCATGTGAATATTTGGTGGGAGAATATTCCCAGCAGATGAAAGAAGAAGAGCAAAATTCCTGAAATGAAATTGTAATGGCACATTCTAGAAAAAATAAGGAAAAAAAGAGTTGACATAGTGGAGTGAATGTGAGGAATGGTCTCAAAAATGAAGCTGAAGAGGTAGCCAGGGACTGTGATAAAGGACTTTGCAGCCATGGAAAAGATTTTAGATTTTATTCTTGGTGTAATGAGGAGCCATTGAAGGACTTGAGAGCAAAAGAGTGAAATGTTTTGTTTCATTTTAAATATCACCTTGGCGGGGTGCCTGGGTGGCTCAGTCATTAAGCATCTGCCTTCGGCTCAGGTCATGATCCCAGGGTCCTGGGATCGAGCCCCGCATCGGGTTCCCTGCTCCGCAGGAAGCCTGCTTCTCCCTCTCCCACTCCCCCTGCTTGTGTTTCCTCTCTCACTGTGTCTCTCTCTGTCAAATAAATAAATAAATAAATAAATAAATATCACCCTGGCTAGAGTGCGGAGAACAGACAATGAGGGTGTGGGGTAAGAGAGAAGGCAAAGAGGCAAGTTTGGTGGCTCTCATAGTGGTTCCCATGAGACCGTGATGGTGACTTGGACTAAGGAGGTAAGAGGAGGGAGAGTGAGAAATATCAAACGAATGATGTATTCTGAAGATAAAGTCAACAGATTTGCTGATGGATTTGATGCAGTGTATAAACAAAAGAAAGTAAAGAGTCAAAGTAGACAACACAGTTTTGGTCTTAGTGATTGAATGAATGGTGGTGCCTTTTACTAAATAAAGACTAGGGATAAGCAAGTTGGTGTCAGAGGATAACTAGAGTTCTCTTCTGGACATGCAAGTTTGGAGATGTGTGTTGGACATCTACGTGGAGACGTTAAACAGTTGCAACATCTGTCCCGATGCTCAGAGGAAAGGTGAGAGGTGGAGACATCAGTGGAAGCATCCTCAGCATACAAGTGGTAATGAAAGCTTAGATAATGAAAACCTAAGTAAGTTAACCTGGGTCCTGGGATGCCTGGATGGCTCAGTCGGTTAGGCCTCTGCCTTTGGCTCGGGTCATGATCCCAGGGTCCTGGGATCGAGTCCTGCATCTCGCTCCCTGCTCAGCAGGGAGCCTGCGTCTTTGTCTGCCTGTCGTTCCCCCTACTTGTGCTCTCTCTCTGACAAATAAATAAAATCTTTAAAAAAAATAAAAATAAGATTTAGAAAAGAAAGTTAACTTAGGTCCTGATTGTAGATAAAATTGAGAAGAGGTCACAGGATGGACTAGCATTTAAGTCAGAAAGTTGAAGCTGAAGATGATCCAACAATGGAGACTAAAGGAAAAAAAAATGCTTTGCATTTTATACTCATATTTCAAAAGGCTAATATGCTGGCTATAGCATGCATGCACCAGATACGTGACACCTTACAAGAACCCAAATTATTGAAGGAAATTGTCTGTCATACCCATTGAGAAAAAGTTGCTTTTTTAATTACAAGTTCTCAAAGGACATTGAACCATGATTAGCATACTTTGAAGATAGACATTCTCTGAAAGGACTCACTATACTTGGTACTATTAGAATAAGAAACCATTTCATGGAGAGAAAGATATGTAATCCAGGTAAAATATTGAGCTGGATATTCTTTACTTAAATATTCACCCAGTATCATAATTTGAGAAAATCACAAATGCAGGAAGATTCTTTGTCATTAAAGATACCAGTTTTAAAATGTGGAAATTTATAGTGTAATCAACACACACACACACACACCCTTACACAATGTTAGTAATGTCAGTGTCTGCATCAATGTGGTCATATCCTTACCAGCAGCAAACAAACTATATTGAACTTGAAGATGGTGTATGCCCACATACTGCTCATTGCCTTTCCCCATGTTGATTTGTGTTCCAAATCTCTGTCGGGCCAGGACTACCTCAAATCTTAAAGTTTGAAGTTTAATATTACCTGGACTTAGCCATTCAGCATGAAATATGGTTGAGGGCTGGCTTACACCTGGGTCTTCTTTAGCCTATCTGTGCAGTCTCCTGCATTATGAACTCATTGACAGCTGTCTTCTATTAAACTGGCCATTATATATGGGTCATCAAAATTAGAGTTCAGATTTGGGGGAATGAGGGGAATCTCCTTAGGGACAAAGGGCCCTTTTATATATATGATTTCCTGATTTTCTTCAAATCTTGATCTAATAATTCTTTATTGCTTTGGCTTTTCAGCTTTTAAAAGAGCTTTACAAAATATTTTATGTACCCTTTTTATTTGTTTCCTGTGAGAGTGGGACTCCAGATGACCTAGATTATTGGAGACCAGAAGTCTCAATCACATCTCTAGTTGAGAAAATTTCACCCAAGTTTTTGAAGCTCTGCCATTGCTTCAGTGATGCTTCTCTTGATTCTCTTATACATACGTGATTTCTTCCTTCTCCAAAACCCCATATCACCTGTCTGACGCTCTCATTCTCCTATTAGTCATGAGTGCAGTCCCTTTTTGTGTCATGTTAGACTCTCAATGGCAGGTGGCACGTCTTATCTCCTGAAGCAACCAGTTCATGATTTGCACAGAGGAGACACTTAAGATTTATTTAATTGAAAAAATTTCAAAGCATTGCTTGAGAAATCAGCTATGAAATAATCACTACAGTTATTTCCCACATTTCTTGATTGCAAAAGGGAAGAGTCTTGAGCAATAAGAAAAGTTCCCTAGCCTTTTCCCTCACATTCCACTTGAATTTACATAAAGTGTCAGCCCCAGTTTATTCTTCTAGCAAGGCCCAGCTGCTGGAACATTCAATTACCATTAGTTCAACTTGTGATAATGAACATGTTTCATCAGCCCACTTCATAAAACTCATTGAGAAGCCTTGGTTCACAAAAGAAGGAATTTGGTTCCCCCAGGAGCATAATTCTATACAGATGTGGTCAAGCAAGACTGAATGTCAAACTGCATGACAATATGTGAAATGATGTGGGGAAGGGAGGAAATAATTTGCATAGAACATGAAACACGTGTGTTGCCTTAATTGCCTGGATATTTCAGGGGAAAATTGTTGTGGGCCAAAAAATATTCTGAAGTTTGAAATCACACAACCCAAGTGACAAATTTGAGGTCCGTCATTTATAAGCTACTTATTCATTCTTAGACACTACAGATTATAAGTCATCATTATTTTACATACCGTTTAGAAGGAGAAATATCAGTCAAATAATCTGTGTTCCCCATTACTGGTAAGTATATCATGACTTCGGAGATGTTAAAATGTAATCAAATATGAGTCTTAGAATCATTGAAATAGCATGTATCTTATTATCTTTGAAGCTTTCTTTCTCCATTGGGTAAATAAATGGGTATAAAAAGATTTTCTTCATAAATTTCAGTTTCCTTGTCATCTTTCTTTATCAGTCTCAATATTGACCCAGGGAAGTCAAAATCTACATCGGCAAAATGAGCCATAGTGTGAAGGTAAAGGATCCGGCAGCAAGCCTACCCACAAAGAAGAGATGGGGAGGGGGGCGGGGGGTGTGCAAGTTGAGCTGCTGGTTGTACCGCTTAGGAAAAGCAGGCATTTTACCTGTAAACTTACCTGCTTCTACTCCCTCATGATGTATCTACCTGTGGAAAAGAAGGTGTATTAAAAAGTTCATTAATCTGGTCTCTCTGCTTCTGAGAGGAAGGTTAAGATTATTTAGATGGAGGGGCACCTGTGTGGACCCTGCTTAAGATTCTCTATCTCGCTCTCCTTCTGTCCCTGCTCCCTCTGCTTGCATGCACTCTCTCTCTCTCTCTCTCAAAAAAAAAAAAGATTATTTAGATGGATGAGTTTGTAATAAACCAAGTGGATCTGCATAACATAACATCTTCCGCTTATCTTCCTCATGGGAGCCACCTGCGCCCCTATGGCAAGTGATCTGCTCTGTTCTCTGTCATGTTCATCTACCCATAAATTGTGATTTTTAATATCAGCTTTATTAGTAGTAAGGGTGGTATTTTGGTCTTTTATCTAACTTATTTTTTCTTATCTTAATTGAATCAAGACTCATAATCCAGGAAGTTGTAAGGAGCACTACTTGGAGGTTCCCTAAAAGACCAACTAGCATACCTGACCTTGACTCTGATGAGCAGCAGACATTTGTATTAGAACACAAAACTATGATAAAGGTTGGCCCATCAAGGTGCCATTGGGAAATCCACGTTCATCACGTAACCACCCCTTCTTCATCCTGTTTGGCACAGTCATGATTAGAACCCCAGCCTACATCTGAGTGTGCTATTTCTTAGGAAGAGGACCACTCCTTTCTTCTCCTATTTCTCTGGCTTCTCTTAGCTTCCTCCCATCAACAATGCTGTCTAAGGCCTAACTTCTGACCCATGATGGACTTGGCTGACCTCCCTTTACCACTAGCAAGCAGAGGAGCAACCCAGGCACTGATCCAAGCCAACCAAAGGGCAGGCAGCTGCAGTCTATCGGAGTGGCAGTGGTATTACCTAAAGGCCCAGCCAAAGCACATATTGACTCATTGTGAGCCATCAGATTAGGAGAATAAGGAACTTTATCAGTAAAACCTCAACCTACTTTGCTTGGCCACATTCTCAGAGACCAACAAACTGGGAACAAAGGCAACTGTTCAGGAATACCAAGAAGTAGGATGCGAGAACAGTCAGAGCATTGAACCAGAGGAATCTTGCCCAGCTCTATGCTCAATTTATTTCCTTGGATACATTCTGTATCCAGACAAATCAATCATGTTTTTGCCAGAAAAATTCAGCCAGAATGCTTACGTTTTATTTTCTGCACCAAGACAAAACATTCCCACACAGTCCATAGACTTTTGTATTACTTATTAATATTTCTAATTATTTTATTTGGTTGTGCCCTGTCTCACATCCTCTGGGCTCACCCTCTACCCAGGCATTCATGCAATAAACAGCTCTGAGTAGGTATTACCTGACAATACTTGGACTTAGCTACACAGCATGTCTCTTGCTTTACACCCTAGAACTTTTATGACATGGGAGCACCCAGAAGTGAGAGATGGTTGACTCTCTTGTTGCCACCAGTGGATACTGGAGGATACTGGTGGTGAATTCTCCCTGCTTCTTTCCCTAGGGCAGATAATTCTGAGGTACATCTACACTGGGCACTGTCACTGCCTCTGCACTTGGAACAAGCTGTAAAGGTCCCATCCCTGAAGATCAGGAGGAGCATGATAAAACATGGACTTCCCCAAGAGGATAGACCAACATTTGGGGCTCGTGAATTTGGAATGATGAGGCAGGAAATGGTCAAATGAGTTTGTACTAACTTTAATCTGACATCTTTACAGAGAAAGGCACTTGGCCCTGATGGAAGGATGTTTATATAACTCTTTAACATAAGAGGATGTTATCATCATCAACCAGAAAGAGAGAGAGAATGCAGTTAGGAAGCAAAAGAAAGACTCAGTGCATACTGAATATAAAATTTAGCCTAAGGCAGACTCTGCTTGCAATAATTTTTTAAATACTAGTTTAGTTTTTTAGAAGGTTTACAGTACTTTTGGATTTAATCCATTACAACGTGCTATCTAAACATTGTAATTTGCAGTGATTTGATTGTTCAATAGGTAACTTAATTCACAAAGCCTCTCCTCTTTCTTTTCAAGTCAAAATGGTCACACTACCATATGATCCCAAGCACAACAGAGTATACATTTGCGAGGTTTTCAGAAGTGATACATTTCCAAAGCAAAGTTGGAGAAGTAACTAGATGAGGTCCAGATCAATAACAGAATAATTCTGCCTATTCCTGATTCTATCTGAGGATGGGTTATAGTGAAGAAGGAGTCAGGCTGTTCTGAACCTACAGAGGTGATTCTTTCTCTTCGGGTTATATATGAAGAAGGTCCCCTCATACTGCTGCCTTCAGTGATAACTCTGGTTCAAGCACTTAAAGTAGCTGTACATGAATCCAGATCAACCCAGCAGCCCATCCAAACAGCATCACTCAAGAAACTTGCCTTGGTGGCTTCAAAGTTCACACTTATTCAGAATACACACTCGGCTTACCTAAAAATGTTTTTGAAGGGTTTGAAGGGTAAACTGGTACCACCTAGAAAGAAGAGGAAGAAAGAGGACTTGGTCACTGACAGAGTAGATTATTTGTGAGTAACTTCTCTCTTGTCAAGAACTAGCAGAGAATCATCAGAGGACAAGGGGCAACAACTTCACTGGGTGATGTGTTTCACCAACCTGGTTTTACATTTTACCACTGCAGCGGGATTTCTTCCTTTCCTGTTTCCGCTCCTTATGTATCTCAGACATCATGCACTTACATAAAGAGACATCCTAGCAAGGGGCAACTTGGATCACAGATACTAATAAAATCTGTGGAATCTTTCTTGAGTTGTTATAATTAAAACCATTGAAATTCAGATCATTAACAGAATGAAGATTAACAAATTCCCAGAAAAGATCCTGTTTTTATTAAAGACATCTTTGCAAAATCTATTATAGCTAACCTATTACAACGTGCTTTGTCAGCAACTCAATTTTACTCTCAGGAAAAGTACATTGACAGAGAAAGTTTTCACTCTGAAAGTTCAGGATCAGGAATAGCATTGTATAATATTTTCATATGTTCAGAACCAAGTAGCAAAGACCTGTGACTACTTAGTCTAAAACCAAACATTCTGAAATCATTTTCTTGGTGCTTAGGTCAGATTCAGGACTTTGTTTTTTTTGTTTTGTTTTTTTTTTTGGAACTTATCATTTGTGCTGCATAATGATCTTTCAAGAGCTCCTTTCTAGTATGGCGACATGATTGCTAACACAAATTACATTGGGAGAATTCGAAGTATAAATATCAAGCTGCTGTCTGAGGCTGTTCAGCCTGAGCCACTGTGAGTTTGACATGTGTTTAGGAAAATCTACTGAGGTCAAAGCAGAGAAATCGCTAAAACCCACTGAATCCAAACTATGGTTAATCTACTCCCCATTGAGGTCAAAGCAGAGAAATCGCTAAAACCCACTGAATCCAAACTATGGTTAATCTACTCCTCATTGGAGTAGCTGCTAAGCCTCCCTTCAGTTAGAAGTAGTCCCGAGGTGAGAAAGCCTTTATTTTCTCCCCTTCAAAGAAGTCTGACTTTGATTTAAAAAAAAAAATTTACTTTGCCAAACCTTTTAAATCATCAGGACATTGATTTTTTATTATTGGGCAAAATAAGCATGATAGCATTTGGAAGAAAAAGGGAATAAAAGAACTAGGTATTCACAGAGTTGGGTCTAGTCAGTGGTTTTCAAAGTGTGGTCTGGGGATCCTTAGGAAACCCTGAGACCATTTCAGGGTGTCTGTCAGGTCAAAACATTTTTACAACATTAAGATGTTATTTGCCTTTTCCCCCCAACCCCCTCTACAATGGAGTTTTCCAGGGACTATATGATATGTGATGGTGTCATTACTCTGATGGCTAATGGAATGTGAGTTGGTGTAAATTTTCTCAGTTTTAATCTCTAATACAGTAAATAACTATGGTTATAATTCATATTTTAAAGAAAGCTCTTTGGGGTCCTCAATAATTTTTAAGAGTTTAAAAGTGTCTTGAGGCACTTAAAAAAGAATGAAATCTTGCCATTTGCAACAATATGAATGGACCTTGAGGGCATTGTGCTAAATGAAATAAGTCAGAGGGAGGGAGATAAATACCATATGGTCTTACTTTTATGTGGAATCAGAAAACAAAAACAAAAACAAAAACAAAAAACAAACTCATAAATCCAGAGAACAGATTGGTGGTTGCCAGAGGCCAGGGGGTAGGAGGTGGAAAAAATGGGTGAAGAGGGATCAAAAGGTACAAACTTCCAATTATAAAATAAATAAGTCCTGGGGGTATAATGTATGGCATAGTGACTGTAGTTAACAATACTGTATCGCATATTTGGAGTTTCTAAGACAGTAGGTCTTTAAAAAGTTCTCATCACAAGAAAATATTTGTAACTACCTGTGATGATGAATGTTAACTAGACTTATTTTGGTGATTATTTGGCATTGTACACAAATATTGAATTATTATGTTGTACACCTGAAACCAATATAATGTATGTCAATTCTATCTTAATTTAAAAATAAAAATAAAAGTTAAGAACATGAAACACTAAAAAAAATGTCTAAAGGGATTAAAAGTGTCTTGAGACCGAAATATTCTTGGTCTAGAACAATGTTGTTCAATAGAATTTATTACGATGATGGAAATGGTCTATGAATCCGCATTGTCTCATACAGTTGCCACTAGACACATGTGAGTGTTGAACATCTAAAATGTGGCTAGTGGGACTGAAGAACTGAGTTTTTAATTTTTATTTAGTTTAAATTTAAATGTAAATAGCTACTGTACTGGACAGTGCAGACCTAGATCCTCAGCACCCTGACTCCTGATTTAATACTCTTCTCAATATTCTCCACCAGCTTCTTTACAGTTAGAGATTTTTCTTGTGCTAACTATTAAATTCTTGGCTTGGTTGGTGTGGTGTGTGAGGGGCCTGTTTAACAGCAAATATGCAATAAGAAAATATCATGCATAACTCTAAAATATCAATCAACTCCAGATCAAATCCTGGACTCAAACAAAGAAAAAAATAATTTAAAAAATCTCATAGTTGCCCCTTTGGGAGTTCCAAAGAATGCTTCTTCGTGCCTTATCTTGAATTAACTACACAGGCTTGAGAGAATATTTTTAAATTATAAACAGTGTTTAGGCTTTGTTCCTATTATAGTTAGATAGAGACAAGAATATAAGTGTTACAGTTGCGCAGAAAAGTCCACTGGGTGTTCAGGCATGTTCAGAACAAACCAGTCGGCTTTGGCATGGTCGTAATTCACTAGGATCTAAATCTCAATTAGTAGAATTCCTGGATTTCTCAATTAGCAGAACTGTCTGAATATTGTGCACCGAACTCTTGCTAACCATACTCTCAAAAGATATAAGAGCACAGAGGAAAGTTTCAACTTGAAAATGTAAGCTTTGAACTATGTGAACTTGTATGAGTTATTGAACCTCTCTAAACCTACGTTTTCTTAGTAAACTGGGATTGTGATATTATCGGTGGCTTCTCTATATGTTGTTGGGAGGATTACATGAGATAATGTATATAAAACTCTTAGTACAATTCCTGAAAATTGTAAATATTTAATAAGTGACCGTTATTGTGCAAATTATTACTATTAGCTCTATTTATCTCACAAATCTTTATTGGGAGCCAACTATGTGCCTTAGTTGCATTAGTTGACAGTGCATTAGTGCTGGCGAATAAGCAAATGCAGTCCTTGCACTCATAGAGCTTACAATCCAGTAAGGGGGAGAGATCAACAATCCACATAAAAAAAAACCCTCTAGATGACACTGATCTTTCTACTAGAAAAGAGCTGGATCAAAAGATAGGACATATAAGGGAAAATTGTTTCTTGAGAGGCTGGGAAAGACCTCTTTGAGAAAGGAGTATTTAAGCAGAGACCTGAAATACCAGTAGGATTTACTACTGGTATTCTGGGTTCTGGGGCATATTAGTTGGGGGTAATGGTTAATACATAGATTCTAAAATTTAATGACTAAACAAAACAAAAGTTTATTTCTCTTTCACGTAACTGTCCAGGGTTGGCAGTCAAGCTCTGCTCTGTAAAGTCATCTAGGGATCCAGACTGAGAAGGGCAGTTCCATCATCCCCCTTGTGACTTCTACAGTTGCTTCCAGCCATCAGGAAGGAAGGGTAGATGGCCATCTTGGAAGAACTTCTTTAAACAGATGACTGGAACGTTTCGCTTGTACAGGAAGTTTGGCTGGGTGTTCAGGTATTCGGATAGGCTATCATGGAACTAACTGGCCTGCCTTGGTGTGGTCATCATTCACTAGGACCTGGATGGCAATTACAGATATCCTACAACTCTTGCAAACCAAACTCACAACAGATACATGATACATGAGCATAGAAAAGTCTCAACTTGAAAGTATAAGCCTTTAATTAACAGAGTTACTGAACCTCTGTAAGCCCATATCTTCCCTGTGAAGTGGAATAATGATAATATCAGTGCCTTCTCTATATTTTGGAGACAATCACTTACATTCATATCCTGTTGGTGCCAGATGGTTTTGTGATATGGCCACACCTAGATGAGAGGCCAAGGAAGAAATGTAGTCTCTTACTTGGTGGGAATATTCTAAGTAAAAGAGAAAAGAAATTGCAGTTTCCCCTAGGTGTCTAACACACAGGCAGAGAAACTCAAAACTCTAAAGCCCTAACATTGGAAAGAGTTTGCCATGCTAAGAGAGCTGGATGGAAGCTAGGATAGCTTGGAGAAAGTGGTATAACATGACACTAAATGCCAGGATCCCCACTTGCAATCAGCTCACAAGCCACTAGGAGAGAAGTAAGCAAACATGATTAATGTTATTATAATTGCAAAAACACCATGTTTTGGTAGGAGAGGGGTAGATTAATTTTTCTCTAGACAGTTTATGGAAAATGGAACATTTTAGATGGACCTCTGTGACTAAGAATTTGGACGTGAGGTGATGGGTAGGGACATGGCAGGGAAATGAACACTTGGACAGAGCAAAAACAAGGAGCCAGAAAATATATAGGGTGTTTCCTAAGAGTGGTAAGAGCTATGGCTTAAAGCATTAACAGAAAGAGTTTGCCTCTGCTACTCTTAAATTGGACCCAAAGATAAATCCTACACTGGTAGTAAGACAGCTAGAAAGGAGGATGACAAAAAATCATGGGGTTAAAATATAATATCAACTTCTTGAGTTATATTTTTAAAAAGTTTGAAAAAACAGTGCTCTCTATCTCCACCTAACATCAGAAGACCAACTTTATTCATCTCTCCAACTAAGGAACAACTCCTTTGCATCAAAGTCTTGTTGAACAAGTTAGCAACTTTGATGTGCTAGTTCTATGGAAACCAGAAAATATTGCTGTACTCTTATCTGAAAAACGCATGCAACACAAAAATAATTTTTATTAACTCTGAAAGTTCATCTAGTTCCACAGCACTTAAAAGTTCTACTGTTTTTCCCTCAAAGCTTAAAACATGTTCAACACTTCCATTCACTT